GTCTTTTCATCTCCTCATTAGCTCTGAACTCAGAGCTAGAAAAATGAGAAGGCAGAATAATCTGGCAGCCAGAAGGTCATTTCTTTCATGAAACCTTTCTGCATCTTCTTAAAGCTGCTTTTCCTCACAAAATGGTAAGGCAAAATCAGAGCAAAGGAAAAAAAAAAAAAAAACCCAAATCTCTCCCTCTTCCAAGCTTACATAAAGTTATCTAAAGCCCACTTATGATATATTACTTTATACCTCATTGACTACTATAGTTATTATAGTTATAATATCAACTAATCTCCCTTAGTAACCTCCTCATGTCAGGCTCTGTGAATCACTCATAGATAGCTCTTAGCTAGCGTTACATATAATAGGAATGTACTGAATACTTACTAAATACCTTGATTTGTGGTAGTTGATTGAATATACCGTTCTCTATATTTAGCAGGGGATCATATCACATTTGAAGTTTTACCAGATGTGTTACAGTGGGCAGACCCATATACATTATATATTGAGCACAAATTTCTCATGTTTGGCATCATTAAATACAGTTACCCACTGCATACTATCTTTGCTTTATTGAATAGAATAAATGGGGATGTCTTCAGATCTTGAGTGATAATTTCCACATAAGTATAACTATCTTTAGTTTTTTAATTACATTAATTTTTAAAAAATTAATTTTGTTGTATATGTTTAAGGTTTACAACCTGTTATGGCATACACATGGATAGTATAAAAGTTACTATAATAAGGCAAGTGAACACATTGATCATATGACATTGTTGCCTATTTTTATTGTTTTTGTGGCAAAAGTAGTAAAACCTACTCATTTATTATAAATTCTAAATATAGCACAATTTTGTTACCCATATCCTCCTGCTGTACATTAGATTCCTAGACCTGTTTATCTTAGTTATCTGTTACTATGTATCCTCTAATCTACATCTCTCCAATTCTTCTGTTCCTGGTAACCATGTTTTGTTCTCTATATTTGTTTTTTTTAAGATTCCACATATAATCTTGATTATCTCACTTAGCATAATGGTCTCCAGTTTCATCCATGTTGTGGCAAATGGCAAGATCTAATTTTTTTTAGGACTGAATAATGATCTGTCGTATGTATACACACACACACACACACACACACACACACACACACACACACACACACACACACACACATACACACATTTCTTTATCCGTTTGTTCATTGACAGTCACTTGGGTTGTTCCATCTGGCTATTATGAATAATACTGCAAGGGACATGAAAGTGCAGACTTCCTTATGGGATGGTGATTTCATTTTTGGGGGGTGCATGTTCAGAAGAGGAATTGCTGGATCATTTGGTAGTTCTATTTTTAATTTATTTAGAAATCTCTATAGTGTTTTACATAATGGCTGCACCAATGTACAATCCCACCAACAATGTATGAGTTGCCTTGTCTCCATACCCTTGCCAACATTTGTTATCTTTTGACTTTTTGGTAATAATCATCCTAACAGGTATGAGGTGATATCTCATAGTGGTTTTGATTTGCCTTTTCGTGATGATTAATGGTGTTGGGCACATTTTCATATACATGTTGGTGATTTGCATGTTTTCTTTTGTAAAATGTCTATTCTAGTCTTTTGCCAATTTTTAAATCAGGTTGTTTTTCTATATTTGGATATCAACTTTTATCAGATATATGGTTTGCAAATATCTTTTCCTAGTTATAGTCTGCTGTTTCATTTTGCTGATTGCTTTTTCTTGCTTTGCAGAAGTTTTTTAGTTTGACGTTGCTCCATTTGTTTATTTTTGCTTTTGTAGTCTAAGTTTTTGATGTGCTATTTGCAGAGACAAATGCTCAGGAAATTTTATTTTTTTTTAATGTTCTCTTCTGGCATGATAATGGCTCACTGCAACCTCGACCTCCTGGGCTCAGATGATCTTCTTGCCTCAGCGTCCCAAGTAGCTAGGACTACAGGCACACACCAACACATCAATTTTTTGATTTTTTTGGTAGAGATGCATTCTCACTATATTGCCCAGCCTGGTCTTGAACTCCTGGTATCAAGCTACCTCCCACTTCAGCTTCTCAAAGTGCTGAGATTACAGGCATGAGTCACTGAGCCTGACCAGTTTTTGGTTTTACATTTAGGTCTTTTATTCATTTTCAGTGGACTTTTGTATATGGTATAAGATAAGGGTCCACTTTCATTATTTTGCATGTGGAAATTCAGTTTTCCCAGCACCTTTTATTGAAAAGATTATTATTTCTTCATTGTTTTCTGCTGGTGCCGCTATAAAAAAATTACTTGAAATATGTTTTGATTTATTCCTGGGCTCTATTCTGTTCTATTGGTCTGTCTGTTTTTATGCCAGTACCATATTGTTTTGATTACTATAGGCTTGTAATATGATTTTAAGTCATAAAGTGTGATGCCTACAACTTTAATTTTCATCCCCAAAATTGTTTTTCACTATTTGGGGTCATTTGTGTTTTCATACAAATTTTTGGATTTTTTTTCTTTTTCTGTGAAGAGTGTCATTGTGATTAAACATGCTTATTGCTTTAGGTACTGTGGATATTTTAATAATATATTTTTTTCTGCTCCACGAGCATGGAATATCTCTGTTTATTTTTATTTTCTTCAGTTTTTGAATTATTGCTTTATAATTTTCAGTGTTCAGTGTTTAGATCATTCATCTTCTTGGTTAAATGTATTCTTCAAGACAGATGATTCCTGATTTATACATTTTTTACACTAGAGTTATCAAGACATATTTCCATTGTAAATAGAGGAACATCTGGACTTATGATGGTTTGACTCAAATTTCTTTTACTTTATGATAAGTTTATTGGGGTATTAAATGCATTTTCACTATACAATATATATATTTTTTTGAGTTGGAGTCTCACTCTGTCGCCCAGACTGGAGTGCAGTGGCC